TCAATACACCACCGAAACAGGGACATACATAAATCCCCCTGAATCCCATCCTCATACGTCACAATATATATTTAAAAAAATAAACTTTTCCCCCCAAAATGTGTACCACCAGGGTATGTACCTCTAAAGTCAGATTTTTTCTGAACTCTGCATTCGAAAAGGTATATATGGAGCAAGTTTCAGATTTCTAACCTTTCTAGAACATGGTTAGAATGAGCGTCAGTCAGTCACGATCGTCTATATTTATTAGATGGTAGATTGGGCCTTCACTCTCCCCATATGTGCAAAGGAGGGCGGACCAGGGAGCAACGTTATCGCTCCTCTCCCCATTCAATTACTTTGGTCCCACTCATCCCCCGACATGGTCGCTGTCCATCACCCACCTGCACGTCATTTGTCGACCCCTTCACCATCGTTTCGAATCCGAAATCGAGCCATCACCTGCCCCGTTTCAAAAATGGTTCACTGGCGAACAGTACCGACGAGTTTCCAGAAGAGAAACCATACGAATGAGTTGTTTGCACCGAGAGGGCCCGGAGGAATTCGTTCCTCGGGTGGAGTTTACACGTCTCCTATATCTTGTGACGTCCTGGAATTTTGTTCCATGGAATTGTCGAGAGAAATATCCAGGATTTTCTTCACTCCAGTCGCGTCATTATTTTCGCCCTGAAAACCTCAGAGAAACAAAAACAGCAGATTCGCCGCCCCGATCCAATCCAATTGCGAAGCGAAGCGGCACCTCATCATTCGCAGTGCGATATATACTCAGCAATTTTTTTCCCTCGAGTCTTACACGCGCTCGAGCCTGGCTGGAATCGATGGGAAACATTTAGTAACACGGGTTTCGTTTGCACAGCTTCAACTTTCACATTTTCGTCAGATGACGAAAGGGCGACGGAAACGCAGGAAAATCATATTTCTTGTCGATTTTCATAGTCTTCTTTCAGGAAATCTCCGAAATCAGGGATTTACTTGCTCTGCCTTCTACTTTTAACTGATTCAAGATCCTTTTAACAAATTCTACAGCCTTTCGACCTTATCCTTTGAGCTCAAAGCCGGAATACAAAAACCGAATTTGGGAAAGATAATGGGGCCTTTTAGCGAATATGAATAATTTTTTCTCCTATTGGAATCCATGTATCCTTAAAGGATTGTTAACTGTCCATAGTTAACAGTGGGATCTTACCATACTGGCGATACATGTTGCACCACCAACGCACCAAACGGACTACAAACACCGTATGAAACTGGACTCGAAGAATGAAGTAAGCGGTTACATGGGAATCCCTTCGAGAAGCGGGTTGCTGCAGGTCGAGACCTTCAGCGAGACCTTCGGCTTCTTCCGGGTCGACTTCCTCGTGCTCCCCAGCTCGGTCGTCTGCTACATTCCAGTCGTTTTTGGTGAGTCCATGCTGACAGTACTTTTGTTGTACTTCTGGTGCGTGGCGTTTATGCACTCTCGTGCAAACACTGGAATGTTCGCACCTTCGACTGAAAATGTTGCCTGTTGCACATTCGGCGGAAAGTGCCCTCTGGATGGAGGAGACGGAAGCCTCATCTGGATTATTTGCAGTCTGTATGCAAGACCGACTACGGTGCCACTAATCCTCGCGGAGACTTGTGACGTCGTTCAGCTCGTACGAAGAAAATCGGCTGCTTTTATAGCCCTGCACTGCAAAAACAGTGTTGCATGGATTGTACTTAGGACCCGCTGTTCTCCAAGCGCGAGGCGAACGTTCGGAAACGACTGTTTTCTTATTGCGATGCGCGAGGCAACGAATGGGGGAAGTCCTTGCGTTTTTTCGCATCTTGGCGGCTCGGCGAGCGCGAAAGCGTCGATTCGCGAGTGTCGTCGAAGGGTGGGGGGAAGCAAACAAATGTTGTGCAAACTGGCCGGATGAGAAATTCCTACGTCCGCTTTTCGGTGGTTCGTTGGAGCACGGTAGGCAAAAAGCCTGACGGTGCAGGAGAAATCAATAAAAGCTCTGGTATTGAGAGCAATGGAATACGTGACGTCGGAAATCTGTATGCATAGTAAATATTTAAGCGTTTGCCTGGCCTGCTTTAATAATGAAAAAGTGGAATGGGGACTCAGCGTTCCCGATCTCTCGACAGGGCAGCATTGGAATGATCATAATTTACCCATCGAGATGGAAGATTCTAGTACGAAACCAAGAGAAAATGCCTTCCTCATGCTCCGAACTTCATCCTTCTCTAAGGCCATCATTCACACGTTATCATTCACGTCATCATTTGCAGACGAATGTGCGCACAATGGCCGTGTACTAATTGCAAAAGAAACTAGAACTTTAACTCATGCATTTTTTTCCAGCTTATAACGTGACCGGCGGCTACTACAGCCCCGTGACAGCCTCCGGGAAGCAGCTGCACTGCCTCCGCGTGTCCCTGCCGGAGCACGCCCTCGTCTTCTGGGCGAGCGCCTTCGTCGGGCAGGGACTCGGGAGGGGGTTGTACGAGAGCGTGGTGCGGCCGGGGCTGGAGAGGGCGTCGAGGGCCTGGAGGGTGGAGGGGAAGATGGCGCCGGGGTTCGCAGATCCGGAGAGGGACGTCCCGGAGTGGGACATCCTGGAGAGGGACGTCCCGGAGAAGAAAGTGTAGTAGGGTTGCTTTTTCTGACGGGGTGCTGTTTTTTCTTTTTTTTTTAAAATAAATTGGAGACTGTTTTGTTCGGACTTGGGTGTTGTCGAATTTTTTTCTTGATTCTGTTTGGCGGACTTTTTCGAAGGAAAGGCGGAGCTTTTGGGCGAAGCTGTTGTGAGAAGGGTTAGGAATTGGACTAGACTTAAGTTTCCTCGCTAAGGACCTGGAATCGGAATAATTTGGCACGAGTAATACAAATTAAGGCGAACGGTCCGGCCTCGCTCCACAAACAGGACAAGCCGTGTGACGTTACGAATGATGACGATTGGAGCAAAGGAAACGACATAAAACAATTTCATAAACATTTGAAGATTATGAAATGTGACAGGTTGACTCTTGGGGATGGCAACAAAGATTCAAATGACGAGAAAAGTATCAGCCCATACGGACAGGGAAGCCCACCACTACGAAGCAAAGTGGCCTTGGCCTAACACCGCAATAAAAGCGTCGGTAAGCTTTCGACAGTGGAGTGCAGGGCGACAGTCTTCTCCACGAGTACCCAGTCGGCGGGAAGGCAAGGTGAAACCCGAAGGGCCGGGCGAGAGAGACTGAGGGATCGAGGAATGGGAAAAGCGTGACTCCTAGACTCGCGAGCCGCACGAACGATAGAGAACCTCTGCATTCGGGGGGAAAACTTAAAGAGAAGCAACTGTAAGCAGCATTTTCAGGAACCCGTCGTGCACGCGCATCCACTGACTGACACCAGAACTCTCAGTTCAGTTGACCCCCCCCCCCTCCCATTCGCTGAATGGTTCGCACTTTTTTTCGCGGCATAAATGTCCAAAATGTCTAATAAGTTATTCACTTGGGGGAAACGGCTCGTACATAAGTGTTATCGAAGGTATATAGAGAAAACATTTCTATCTTTGCAGAGGAGGCATGGAATCCCCATCATACCCTAATTTCGGCACATTAGATTTCTTATTTTTGAGGGAAGGAATAGGCATCAATCCCAGTTTCTCAGTCGACGTCGAGTGACTCACGCGGCTTTATTGGTCGCTGAAAGCGCGTCAGGGGACGCACCCTCAGCCTCTCGCGATGTAAGAATGGAATACATCCGAATTATGAAGATGGCTTTGAAAATTTTCCGTGGTTCTTTGTTGGTATATTTCATTTATTTATTTTCTACGATCCTGAACGGTCCGCTTCCGACGGTGCGAGCGCCGAAATCTGGAGGATTCGCGCCGCGCATTGCATCCGCTATTCACCCTCAGTCGCGGCTGCGGATGCAGCCGAAAGGCACGGCAGCGCCAGGGATCCTTTCGTCTCGCGCGAAAGACCGTGGGCGCTCCCCTGGGGAATTCCGAAATTGGATGCTCTGATCACCGCGGAGGAGGTTGCTCCCTCTCGCCACCGATTCGACTCCCACGATGGGCGAGAGCGAAACCCCCGCGTTTGGCAAGGACGCGCATCTCCCTCTCTCTCTTCCTTCCGTCTGTTTGCGATCGCAAGCGAGTCAGAGTCAGAGAGCCTGACCCGAGTAAGCAGTTTCTTCACTCGGTAACTATTCCATATTTAAATAAGAACGATCGCTCAAATACCATCTTCCTGTCGCAATCCGCATGTAATTTGTGACACGTGAATCTCAATGCGCACGTCTAGTACTTACGTAGTACTTCTGGTGCGTGAGATGCACTCTCGTTATCCAAACACTGGAATGTTCGCACCTTCGACCGAAAATGTTGCCTGTTGCACATTCGGCGGAAAGTGCCCTCTAGATGAAGGAGACGAAAGCCTCATCTCGACTATTTGCAGTCTGTATGCAATAGCAACGACGGCGTCGCAAATCCGCGCGGATACTTGTGACGTCGTTCGGCTCGTACGAAGAAATCCGAGAGCCCTGCAACGCAAAAACGGCGTTGCTTGGAGTGGGCTTCGGATGCGTCGTTCCCCGAGCGCGAGACCGAACGATCGGAAACGGAACGGAAAAGGCATCGAAGGGGGCGAAGCCCTTCTGGATTTTCGCATCTTCGCGGGTCGGCGAGCGGGAAAGCGTCGAACTTGTGAAAGGTCAGGCAAAGATGCGAGATAAGTTAGTGACACAACACACGCTTGAGGAACATTTTTAGACGATAAACACAATTTTAAATTTAAGAAGTTTGTGACGAAATGAGGCGAAAGGTGTTCTGCACGGCTGTGGTACTGACCCAATTTTGCGAATAAGCCACCAGCTGGTAATAAACCTGCATTCGTAAAGTATTTTCTACCCAATCGGTAACGTGAATTTTGCACTTGAAATCCCCATTTTCACACGCAGTGAGTCTTCAGCAATCTTATGCACAAAGTATTCCAGTATGTTCCATACTTGGGAACTCGATGCGATGAAGGGTTAGGTGAGTTTCGTGCATTTCACTCGCAAAATCGGAGCTCGTCAGGTGCGTCGAAGGCTCGTGATTACCATCGTTAATAACGTTACGTGAGGTTATCCACAGCGATACACAAAAGCCGTGGGAACGTATTCCTCAGCTGTTGAAGTTTGCTAAGTTGAACAGGTGAAGAACGGAATTGTATTAACAGTGAAGTTCGCATCTGGAATTCGGTGACGTCCAAATGTCCTGCTTGATCTGGTCAGGATCTCATGGAGACGGAGTGCATGAGTCGCGATCAGGTCATTAGGGGTGATTGGGGCAGAGGGGGATGTCGCAGAATTCCCATTTCGTCGCTGCGTCGTCGACGAAGCACCATGGTCGTTCTTTGGATGTCGGGTTCCTGCAGAAGTTCCGTTCCGCCGAGGGATTGTTTCTTAGGAAATGCCCTTCGTAAGTTAGGTCTGGTTTGAAGTCATCCAGCTTTCCATATGGTTGGGAATCCCACCGGAGACAGTTCTTTCCGGTCGCAGTCTTTTTCATCGTCCCCATGTATTCCGTCCCGTTTCCGTCTGTCGGCATTCCAGATTTCCCTTCGCCGATTTTTCTGTATCAGAGTGAAACGAGTGATATCATTTATGGTACGAATTGCAGGAACCAAAAAATCCACAATATTACAATTGCCGTAAATATACCTTTCTTTACCAAACAACCGCCCTCTGGGTTTCCATGATCTATTTTTGCGAATGACATTCTGTTCTATTTTAATAGTTATCGAAATGCCAAATATCGAAACAATTTTGCCGTTCGGGAACGCTCACGGAGTATGAAACAGGCGAGCAAATCGGTAAACATCACTTCATACCTTCTGAAGCAGATTTCATGTCCTCTTCGGAACAAAAAGGAATTTTGCACAGGTTCTTCTTGAGTTGCTTGGTTTTGCACCAAGGCCCAACACTAATCTTGTCTGGATTCCGACAGTAGTTATGGCGACTGTCCAATTCGACATCGGGAAACATCAGCAGGTATTGCAAAGCGGAATTCCTGTCGGGGGTCATGGCCAGCCAGGGTTCGCACTTCTCTCCGTCCACCGCCTCGTCGACTGACCCCGCGTACTCTGACCCATCTTGTGTGATCTTGCATTCCAGGGCCTCTGCCGACGGGTGAATAAATGAGTGACTTCCTGAATGCGTGACTTCATGGAAGAGTGACTTCATGAAAGAGTGAGAGGATAAATGAGTTTCTTGGGAAAGGGAATCCATGATTTTTTGGCATTTATAGAAAACATACCCTCAGGAAGGCAAATTTCACTGAAAGATTTTGATGGCAAGAAAGATAGCAAACAAACAATCGGATATTATGGCCATGGACTAGACAAGCCGCACCAAATGCAAATGCCACTCACTGCATATAATTTAACTCGCTGTGGTCGCGCCTTCGGCGCTGCAATATCTTGGATAGCGATTAATTCATTTATTCTTTGCGAAATGGCAAACACGTACATCCCATTGGAATACGTGACATATGGGGACGAAAGTATTGATTTTTATCAAAATCATTACTTCTATTATTTCTATATGCCTAACTTGAAATCTTTTCATGTGTCCCTTTTTGTAAGGGTGGAGAATATATTTTGCAATACTTCCCTCCTATAATCTACGCTCATCAGGCATATTTCAAAAGTAGGATTTTCCCTGTACTCAGCCATCAAACAGGTACTTCTGAGGATATTTTAAATTTTCTGTTTCTGTTT